CACACACACAAAGATGGAGAGATGGAAACACGGCTTACGCACGCTGGTGCCCCGTTCAACAGGGACCATAAATTATTATTATTGTTTAAAATATGTGTTTCCATTTTTTGGTTTATACTTCTTTCTTACGCACCAGCCTAGGTGGTTTTCCTCAAATGTGGTGGACACTGCGCCTCTTGCAGCAGGGAACTGGCGCGGCCTCATTGTCGTCTCTCACCGAGTCATGTGTCACACGGCAGTTAACCACAAAAAACATACGAAGACCAAAGAAGGTGCAGCGGCAAATGTGGATGGACCGGATGAAGAAGCGTCGACGAGAACGCGCAATGATGATTGCCGCACAGGAGGAAGCTCAAAAGGCCTCAATGAGCAGCCCCACTTTGAACGGCCGCGACCTTATTATGGCGCAACTTGCCAATGAAATATTTAGCCGAGGACACAAGCATGTCTGCTGTGCGACAAACATTTCGTTTGTGCCGGATGGCAATCCTGCCATGCCTGAGGTTGCCCTCGCAGGGCGTGGAAATGTTGGCAAGACGTCGTTGCTGCGGTCCCTCTTCCGTGCGTCACGCGAGGTTGGGCGCTCCAACGTTAAGTTGCGTCGTGACGCAATGAACTTTTTTAACGTCGGGGGCGGTGTGTTCAACGTGGTGGATCTGCCAGGGTTTGGCGGCACCTCTGTCCCGTGGTCGACCGTCCTGCAGCATGCCGTGCTGCTTCGAAACTTTGTTCAGTACCGCCCAAGTTTAAAGATGTTGTACTACTGCATGGATGTGCATTATAAGCACGGTGTTTACATCCAAGACATTGATGTTTTACGGTTTCTTTCAAAAGAGGTGCCGAACTTCACAATAGTGCTGACAAAAGGCGACCAGCTCGATACGACGGCATCGAAGGACGTGTTCCGCCTCGAGGATGTTCGGAAGGAGCTACTCTTCCACGACATCACACATCCCGTACTTGTCACCAGCGCATACCACATGGGTGGCATTGATGCACTGCGCTTTGACATGGTAATGAACTGCATGCACACCGTCCCAACCGAACGTCTCACGCTGACAGAGGCGAAAAGGCTTTCTGAACGGCTGCTGTCACAACGTGAACTTGGCACAGTACGCCAGTTGGATCTGCCGCCCACACAGCTTCAGGAAGAGCTGATGGCGTGGGAGGTAGAGCTACGACAGGAACGTGATGCGGAAGAAGAAGAAGAAGAAGGCAGCAATAATGGTGGTAGTGGTGATGCGGTAGAAACGACAGGAAACAATGCTGTTCCGGCAGGCAACTTGGGAGATTCACAACTCCCTGTGTCGTCCAACAGTAATCATGGCCACAACGACAAGAACAGTGCAGGTAGCGAGCGGGCCTCCGCGGCAATGGTGAGGGTGCCTTCCTCAGTGAGTTTCAATGCGGTGTTGGATCCTGATCGAGACGTCGCCTTTGGCTCTCTCCGCAAGAAGGTGACAAACACTGCCATGATGAAGTACGTAAGACAGACCAGTCCGTGGCGCAATCCGCTTGTGTGGCCAGCGAACGTGATACCGACGAAGCATCCAAAGTCGAACATCATGCGATGCCCCGAGGACCCACACAATCCATACCTTACACAGGCTCATTTTGTTTGCCCCCGAGCGGACATGTTCTTTCGTCGCCCCAACGTGGGCGTGCGCCGGGCGTCGAACAAAGGTAGGTATGAATCCGACCGGCCGCTTGCCTTCATTATGAAGCCGTACACTATGCCATATTTTCCGGATATTGTGGACGTAAATATGCACCCACTTCCCTGGACTTTCCTCGGCAGCCGTGAGGCCTACTACGAGATGAGTGGTGGTCGACAACTGGGGGTGCGCTTAAGGCACTACGCCACAGCTGGGGAAGTTCGACCCCTGGCGGAAAATCCAGCTCCCACAGAGCCGGAGCTTACGAAGGAGCTGCAGGCGCTTGAACGGGCTCGCTATGGAGCCCCTATTGCAATGCTGCGACCTCCTGAGAAGGCACATAAGGAGGACTTTAGCGCCCCTCTTGTCCTTGATGCTGACGCGAAGGATCACGAGAGAGTGGATGGATGAAGCACACACACACACCACCACGCTAGTACCACTTTTCCCTCTTCACATTACTTTGTTATCATCTTTAGCACGCCTTTGCAACTGCTGCAGAACCTGTGTAATATATATATATATATATATATATATATATATATATA